AAAAATTTTGAAGGCCAACTTGCTCATTTTTAAACATAGAAATGAACTTGGCTAGTAGTGTAATTGGTTGAATACAAATAGTTATGCAATTTTTTTAAATTCTAAATACAAATCTATCGCGTGTGATATACATTTTATTAAATATTAATAGAAAATTAAGATGTTTATATATTGCTATAATTCTTATTTTGTATCCTACCTAGTAGAAGAATTTTGTTTCTACAATTTCGTCCCAAAATTTAAACTGCATTTGATTTGTTCATGTAATTTGTTTAATCAAGAAACGAGAAAATTTATGTTTTTTTGTCATTTATTTATTTATTTTGACAACACTTTTTATCATTTATTAACACCAGAATTAGGCCCCTACCCACCTTCCAACTGCCACCAAATATTTACAAGAAAAGAAACTAACTCCCATATAAAACAACACAATTATATATTCAAATTCCACTTCTCTTCTTCATCATAGTATTAAAACTTCTCCTTCTTCTTAAAGTGTAAAAATGGTTCGCCCCATTCCAATACATGCTGGTGAAAACTTCTGCACCATACCACTAGCAATAGGGTTATTTGTATCAGCAACACTTCTTGTAGCCCTATGTGCAAAACATGCAAAGCAAGTATCAAGAAAATACCGAGCAGATGATCCCAAAATGGCACCCAAATCGCCATTACCATTGCCGAAGCAGCTCATCACAGCCAAAAGTAACAAGGCACCGGCCACTCCGAGAAAATCCGCCGGGGACGAATTCGACACCAAAGCCAAGGAAGGATTTGGAGAAGGTGGGCTGTGGCAGAAGGCCATTTTAATGGGAGAGAAGTGCCAACCGCCGGAATTTTCTGGTGTAATTTATTATGACTACTCCGGGAATAGGATTTCTGAGCTTCCTAGGTCACCGAGAACCACCCCAATGAGTCCCTTGAGAAATTTTTCTTTCCCTGTGGAGAATAATGTATAATCGACGTCTTAATGAGCAAAGTATTCTGGTAATAATGAAATTTTATTTATTATAGATTTTTATGCTATTTTTTCTCTCCCCCATAAGCATTTTCTTGACAGAAGCAGAAAGAAAATATTTTTTTACAAATGATCAAGATATCTTGAGGAATCATGATTAGTTTATATTCATATGAGTCCTTTTCACAGGAAATGAGAATTTTGTGATATAATAGAAGCAGAAGTTATGCAGAATTTTCAAGAATCGAAGTTGATGATTTTTTTTTGTTTAAGTGCAACAGGCACGATAAAGTTAGGTCAGTTTTGATTAGTTGCTCTCTAATTTTCATCTTATTTTCTATTGAAAAATGAAAGGAGGATCATGCTAATTGCATTATTTCGAAGTTCCGCCCATCCATTTGACATCCCCAACTACAATCACGAAAAAATGGGTTAGAAAGTTGTGTGAACACACTCACTTGTACGTTTGGAGCTAAATTCTACTTTTTAGATTATTTATTTATTTTAACAAATTTTAAATCAAAAATTCTTTTTCCAAGCATATGATGTCTTTAGTTATCTTTTCTTCCAATAGTAATTAACAACCAATTTCAGATAATTAATTTGGAATATTTAAATCTCATTATTTTTCTAGTTAATTAGTCTTAAAACAAAAGGCCTTTGATTAATCTTCCCTCAGCCCAAGTTCAATTAAGTCAAGGAAAAAAAAATCATATATCACGTAAGTATTCATCAATTCAATTTTTAGAGCGTAAGTTTAAAATTCCAAAAGTCAGGTATTAATTCAATATTGTAGTTTTAAATGATAATATTATAAAATTAAATTAATCTACCCACCCCAAACCCCCAGACCCCTACCTCCACCTCGTGCTCTCGCTTGCCACTATCCTCTCTTACAGCTGCTGACATCCATCCTTCCAGTTACCGACATCCAAATAATTTCGTCGAAAAAAATATAGAATCTATATAGATCACCTGCAACTTCTTCAACAGTGAATTAGTGGGCTCAACGACGACTAAACATCTCCAGCTTAAATGGTAGAGATAGAGGGAAAACATAGTGATTGTTGGAGAACATTGGTTGCGCATCGCCAGCGATGGATCATTTTCTTCAGCGACGACTCAACAATGCTGGTGCAATTTAAATCTATTTTTTTGAAAATTGAAAACTACAAATTGAAAAACAATCCCTGATATAATTAACAGAGTACTTACTAAAGCAAATAACTTCAATTTCACCGTTGAAAGCTGGTAATTGAATTTGTGACCAATTCGAGTAATTGAGGTAGAAGAAATCAATGGCACGTGGCCAAATCTCTTGAATTTGTGAGCAGTAACCTATACACATTGATATATAACATGTTACATGTGACACATTGGTCTATGACCAGTACTTAATATCAATCTGTGACTTATGAACATTGATCTGTAAACTATAAAATGTGATATGTGACCATAAATAAGTGATCTGTGACCAAATTAAATTGATATGTGACCAAATTTAATTGATCTGTGACATGTGGACATTGATTTGTGATCAATTTTAATTGATCCTTGCCCTATGAACATTGATCCGTGACCAATTTTAAATGATCTCTGAACTGTAGACATTGATATGTGACCTACACACATTGAAATGCGACATTTGAAAAAATTGTGAGTCAAGAAAACCACACCAGCCCCAGCACCGACCCAACATCACCTCTGCAACAACACCACTGCCTCCGAACACACCACACATAGATCACCATCACAGTCCATCACCACCACCTTCGACGCATCACCACAACATCACTGATGCAAAACCAGAATGAAAAAAATAGTTCGCGGAGAGACACGGCGAGAGAAGCAAAAAAGCAGTCGACGTCCAACCAACTTAGAATGCTATCCTTCGCCAATGCATCGTGGCTGTCCTATCTCCTAACCACCTTCTTCGCCCCCATCAATAGCCTCTACACCGCTCAATCCTCAACACTTCCACCACCACCAAGCCATCCTCCCAAATCCTCACTATCCACAAATGCCTCTTAACAAAGCAAACCACTAGCGTTGACTTTGCCAAGTCCTTCCTTGACCACCTTCGTCGTGCTGAGCAATAATTGAACAACTTTATGTCTCTCAAGTTGGGAGCTATTGTCGACGGATGTGGGGGATATGGAGTATGGAGCTCATTTGCGATGAAATTAAATTAGTGTAAGGACAATGAGCATGGAGTTCATTTGGGTGAAAACAAATTAGGGTTCCAGGGTGAGGTGGGATTCACATACCTGATTTATGACAGGTTAAACTTAAAAATTGACAAATAAAATGCAAACTTTAAAAATAGGCTCAAATGTAATTTTCATCTTAAGTCAATAAACATCAAATAAATGTTGGCCCATTTAATAAAGAATAATGCTATGTAGCACAAGCAATCCTTCTATGTTGTGCTAAGTACCACAAAAATGAAATAGCATTACTCTAGATTAATCAATTCCCTTTCAACATAGCTAATTCCTAGCTAGAATCATAAATCTTATCGAACATATGCATATAATTGGGCAATAAAAAATTAAGTGATGTGGAGTGACACAACTAATTTTCTCGAAAGCTATAAGCACAATTTAACCTTTTATCTCACGAAATGAGATACTAGAATTCACTCCAAGCACTATTCGTTTAGACCTTACTTTTAGAGTCATTTATCAGAGTGTCATTCTCATATTCTAGTGATGCTTTTGTATCAACAAAGTTTTGCCTTTTTATTTTTTTGATATTGCTATATAAAATAGAATCTAGATTAGCAAATAAGCCATAAAGTATATTTTACGCTATTGATTTAACAGGATTAAATAGGATAATAAAAATTTATTATATATATTTTTTATCTAATCTTATACAATCTAACATATCGAATTTACTATAAAATATTTAAATTTGAAAATATACCAATTTTTTTTAAAAGATAAGAAGAAAATTAAAAGGTCAAAACCGAATTAATATCAAAGAAAATGCAATTCTACTTTTTGTTTAGTGGGTTTGCACTCAGCCGCTTTTGAATTGGTCTTTTGTCAACTCCAATATCAACTCATCACACGTTAACAAATTTATTAGTGCCTTCCCACTGTTTAATGGGTCAAAGCATAGTATCAATTTGTTTCGTGCGGGTAGTCGCTAACAATTAAAAAGAGAACAGACGATTGTGTAAGGAACAAACCTTTTGAGACAAAGTCCCAAAAAGGGGTATTTTATTGGCGATGATTTACAATTAGGAGTAAACAGAATGCCTCCAAGAGGCGCAAGCACACGAGTACTGAAAGAAATGTTTAAATCTAAACTAAGAAATTGAAATTACATATTCTCTGTTTGAGAGTGTTTGATTCGGGTCATCTGCTCTATGTCTTCTCTTCCTTTTATATTCCCTTGATGATTTTTTCGTGATCAACCGCTTAGAAACTATTTGATTGCTTTATAACTACCTGTTGACACACTAAAAGTGCAGCCCAAATCGAATAGCCCAAAGAATGAAATCCAATTTGGGAAGAATAACCCAAGAAATGAAGCCCAATTTGGGAATTTAGGATAAAGGCCCAGATATGGTTATTAATGAATGCAGTGGAAGCCCATGAATACGGTAACACCATCGCCCAAACTTGCAAGACGCCCAAGATCCGAGCGAATGAAGTGTCTTACAGTCGCCCAGAGCTATGACCCTGTTCTCGTCCAAACCCTTCGAATCGCCCAGGATCTTAGCAAACATAAGATGTTTATGGTTATCCAAAAGTACAGTTATTGAAGCAGTTATTGAGTAACCTTATCACGTCCACGTTTCAAGGAGTTCAGTTGAAGACAGTTGAACAACAAAGAGTAGTGGCAGCAGTTAGAGACGACAGTTCCACGAAAAGTTAGCCACCATAAAGAAAGTGGGTAGTTATAAAGCAATCAAGCAGTTTCTAAACGGTTGATCATGAAGAAATCATCAATGGAATATAAAAGAAAGAGAAGATATAGAGCAGAGGACCCCGAATCAAACATTCTCGAACAGAGAATATGTAATTTCAATTTCTTAGTTTAAACTTAAACATTTCTTTTCAGTACCCGTGTGTTTGCGCCCCTTGGAGGCATTCTGTTTAGTTCCAATTGTAAAGTCATCGCCAATAAAACACCCCTTTTTGAGACTTTGTCTCAAGAGGTTTGTTCCTTACACAATCGTCTGATCCCTTTTTAATTGTTAGCGACTACTCGCGCGAAACAATTTGGCACGCCCAGTGGAACTTTGGTGTTTGGTGTTGGAGATACAAAAGGTGAAACAATATGCCTTAGAAATCTGATAAGGAAGCAAGTCAAGGAGGAGTCCAGTCTGTGATCGAGCGATATGAGGAGCAGCATAGCTCTCCACAAACAGATGGACAGAATCAGAACAGTCACAGTCGTTATGAACCAATGACATAGTTGAGTCCTCGAACCATGCGTGCATTACTTGGAGAACTAACAAAGGATGTCGTTGAACAGGTAAATCTATGAAATATTCATAATATGGAAAGATTTACCCAAAATAGGAATGCACATTATGACAACATGGCCAAACAACTGAATACTTTGAACGAAATAATGAATAAGTTGGTAGGCCAAATTTGTCAGCCAATTGTGCCTCTTGCAAATCATTTTCAAACTAGGACAATTGTGGGACATAATCCCCCAGTCCTAAGTCCAAATCAAGGGGTAGAACCGTCTTTTGTTCCCTCTACTTCAAACTAAGGGATGGTGTAATGTCAAATCAGAATAGTGACAATGGTACATCTAACTTGGGCGGTAACCTAAATGTAAGAGACAATGTCCTAAATAATGGATAGAATGCTCCACGTGTTAATGATAGAATAAATATTCAGGCTAATGGTAACAATGGCCCAAATTATGGCAACTTCGTGGCCAACCAAGGATCAAATATCAGGCCTCAAGCAAATCAACCGGTCAACCAACATGTAGGAATTCCATATGACCCCAATGTCGTGTTAAGGATTC